TATTCCCAGCTGAAACATTTGCTTCAATTAAATTTATCACAAACATGATGTAGCAATCACAAGCTGTTCCACACACAAATAGCCTTGAATCAGAAGTTACCAATTCTCCTCTGAATGTAGTATGAAAAGATCTTTGCCACCTGAACGCTTTTCCATTAGAATGTGCTAGGTCTTCAAGGTTGGATAACCACAGAAATAGCTTTCAATATGCAAGTATACATCTCCCTCTTCTCTGTGTGCAATAGGATGTCACACACAGTCATTTTTATGCCACATTCTGGCTTGAACCCTATCTGGGAGGGAGATAGGACCTCGAGATAAGGCCTTGCTCACTGACTTTGAAACCACTTTGCTCAAGAAGAAAAAGGTCCAGAGTGGATGGCAATTAACTAAGTCCATACATCTCATGGAGAGCTTCCTGCATACTGAATATATGGGGAAAAAAAATCCCATTCTGCCTGCTGGAGCAGCATTAGTTTTCTTTATGTAGCTGGAGTTGCCAGTGCTTTTAAAGGCACTTTAGAATCCCCATGGTTCCAGATTTGAAGACCACATTTCAAGGTTATTAAGTAACAAATCATCACAAAGATGAAAATAAAGTAGCAGATCACAATTTTTAGAAAAATTTCTGATATCTGCAGCTCAACTCCTGCAATCACTGCTGTAGAACAGCATAAGGAATCACCTGGATTATGGACTACTTCTCTCTTCCATTGATGTATGGAAGGTGCATGGCAGACTACTTCTCTCTTCCATGATGGCATTCACGACTTAGTTTTTAGGTCGGAAAATGAATAAAAAATAATCTTTTCCAGAAGAAAGATTCTTGCCTTATTAGGTACAGAAGTTCTCTAACAAGCCACACAGATTTCACTAAATCCACAGCTGTGGTGTGGAGAGCTCAGAAGTCTATGCAGGAAGAATTCTTACTGTTTCAGTTGTTTGTTTAGAGGGAATGGGGAACCCATGCATAATAGGAGACAATTTGTATGTTTAAAGTATTCACTCAATCTAAACACCAAGTCTTCAGCAGTTAATATAATGAGATTCTGGTCAGACTGGAACTTCTGTGTCTTCAGGCACTTAAGGACAATTTAGGAACAAGCACAGAGGCAAAATAAATTACAATCTATAGTTTTGGGGATAAGCAAATCTGTAACTATTAGAGATTATTATGAGACCTGTGTGAAGACAAATTATTCCAGAAGTCCTTACTGGTATGTTGCTCAGTTGAGTTGTTGTTAATACATGCTGCTTTCAAAGACTGAAGAACATATCTAATCTGTTAACCTAAATCTGAATCAGCTTCTCTTGCCATAAGAAATGTACATACCATTATGGACATTCTGCCTGGTTCTAGATTTCCCATGGTATGAAATAGTTTGTTTTTTTCTCTAAACCATTCAAAACCTAGATATAGGTTCAATTTTAAAACCACAGAATAAGCTAGTTGGAAGGGACCCATCAGGATGGCTAAGTTGAATTCCTGGCCCTGCACAGGACATCCCCAATTGTCATACGCTGTGTCTGAGAGCACTGTCCAATTCCTCCATGGGCCCTGTCAGCCTTGGTGCTGTGTCCACTGCCCTGGGGAGCTGTTCCAGTGCCCAGCAACCCTCTGGTGAAGAACCATTTCCTGATATCCAACCTAAACTTCCCCTGTCGCAGCTTCAGGATGTTTTCTCAAGTCTTACTGGACTAAGTAGAGAAATGCAGTTTTACTACAAAGAATCACAGATCTGGTTCATTATCAGACTTGTCTGTTTAGAAATGAGGCAGCGAACAACTTCTAATTTTCAGCATATAGGCATGTGTGTGTATATATATGTATAAAATATATACATATATTTGACAAACTATCTTTTGATAGTTTGTCCAGTTTTGAAGCTGCCCATTTGAGTAGTTTTGACAAATAATATAAAGATTGAAATGTAAAGGAAATTGACAAGTCCATACTATATTGCTCCATACTGGTCAAGATCAGCACAGTGAAAAGGCACAAATCCTCACACTGCTATAATACCCACAGAGAAATAAATCTATTTAGAAGTTTCCTGACTGATTCATAGTATCTAGTCAACACACTTAAAAGGAGAAATGAGGCTTCCCATTACAAGAATAGGAGGCTGCAGTCATAAGTCCTCCTCCAAAAGCATCTACCCCATCTACTCCATCTATCCTGATCTGCACTCCTTTCTGCTGTCCACTGTGTGTGAGACAGAAACTAAGATATGTTTCCCAAAGTAAATCTGACTTTTTAAAAAATAACCATAATATATGCACAAAACAAAGCATGTTATATACATAATCCTACACTGCACAGTGTTGATGACACTCCTTTAGGTATTTCTGTTATATACACTACATTTAAAAAGATTTTAAACAGATTATACATTACAGAAAAGTTGAGCGATAACACATTTTTTTGATTGCAATTTTTTAATTTTCTTCTTCCACTTGTAGCAGAAAAATTGGTAGTAGCCTGACTGTAACTGAAATAGGCAACCAGAAGAAAAAAATACCAGGTGATTGTTCTTAGTCTTTGCCTGATTTAGAGATAAGCTTTCACATTTGTACAGTATCCAGACATTATGTTAGGAGGGCCCAAATGTTATTTACACATGTAATGCCACACAATAAGTGAACCGTGCAAAAGGAGTAGAAAGCTCTTATCAGAACTATCAAAACAGGATATGGATCAAAATGAACCAAGAATAAAAGGAGAGAAGAGAACAGTTATATTAAGAGATACTCAGGAAAGCTCTCATATGTGTTCTAAAGTTTACATGCTAGTGCAATTTTCAAAGGGGTCAGTTTGGCTTTTTGTTTATTTTCATCTCTCTCTCACTCTCTCTCTGTATATATTTATGTATACATGGCAATATTCCACCCACTGAAGTTTCATTTCAGATCAGTATTCTTTGCTCACTTGTGTCCTTTATATAGTGCTACTGTCATATACTGAACAATCTTTTCTGTAATGTATTTCATTATTCTATTAAATGTAAAATTTTCTCTTAATATTTTTCAAAGAATTCTATAGAGAAATAATTCATTAAAAGAAGTGATTCAAGTTCAAATAAGACCTTTTTCAAACACAGCATTAACATGGAGGAGAGGAATCTGGAAGGTCTCTGTGCTTCTGTAGACTGATGTAACCTCCCTACAAGAGACCACTTCTCCCCAGGGCTCAGGGTGTTAATGATGGACAGCAGTTAATTTTTCTTCTCTGGGCAGTTTGTATACAACAGGTGTTGCACAAGTATTTCTGCAACTCTTCTATTAAATTATTTGTAGCACACTACAAAATGCATATATTATTTCTATAACCTGGGTACCTCAATACTCTCAAAGGTCTAACTCCATAGTTTTTAGATTGAATTAAAAAAAAACTCCCGGGACATATCAAATCCTTCTTATCATGTTATCATTGACTTTGAGAGCTTATTCACTTGACAATGCTATTCTAGTCTGTCTGTGGGACCAGCAGAAACTCTTTAAAGATTACTACTGACAGGATAATTTTTTTCCCTGTGATTTTGTTCACTGAGTTAGTATTCAGTACCTCTGCCCTCTTTTTGGGAAGTGTGAAACTCCTCCAGGACCGCTGCCCATAGGACAAATTTACTTAGGTGCTTTTTGGTCTTATGGCCACAGTTACACTTCATGGTTTGTAAATGGCATCACCAAAAATGTACATTCTTCACAAGTTCAGATTTTACCATGGCAGAAAGCGACAAAACAATAAAACCAGTTACTCAAATCCAACCCATAATACCCTCTACTAACCATAAATCTAGCCAAATACGTAGTACAGTAATGATTGTTACTGTTCAAGAGACACTCCTGGCAAATTTCCACGGCTCCAAGAAAGAAGGTTACTCTGCTGATTTTTATTTATTTGTAGAGTCAAAAATAAGTGCAGAAATGGTAGAATCTGCAGTTATTTTTATTCCCCTCAGTAGGAGGATTTTGCTTTAGTAGGAAGTAAATTGCTCTCAGTTTACATTGTCTGTAATAAAAGCCTGCAGTTGAGCAGTCTTGTCCTCACACTGCAATTACAAGGCCAGGGCTTTGCGGGCTGTGCTCTAAGACTCTGCAGGACTCAGTTGGCCTGTTGGCCACAGTTTGATCACCCTTCACTTTTGCAAAATCATATATTAGACATCTGCAAATCTCCAGATGGGTCAAAGTCTGAGAAAATTATGGAATAATCAAGAATATGCGCATAGACTTTCCAGATAATTAGTTTTTACAGACCATTATCTGTAAGCCTACAGACTAGGGGCTCTGATTCAGCAGAGTATTTAGACAAATGCTGACATATTTATTATTAATAAACAGAAATAGGCACTAACTTTAGGCATATGGAGAAGCGACTGATTGGTTACAACTGGACTTAGTCATACATCAAAAGACTTTACTGTATTAGGGCCTTGAATTGGAAAAAAATTTATGTGAATTTATACAGAACTGGAATACCAAGAAGAGAGTGACATGCTTTTACAGCTGAAGTTGCACAGCAGCTAGCCAATTGTGCATATTACCAGCTTCATGAAAATAGAGAAAATCACCAAAATTATTATGTGGGTTTAACTAATTTTATCTTACTTTAATGCTTTAAGAGCTATTTAAAGTATTAAAACCTGAGAGCGTTTCACTGCGCGCTCTATTCCACTAGAGGTCAGCCTGCAACAGAACCCCAAGCAAACACAGGAACTGCTGCACACGGGTAGCGCTGACATTATTTTCTTTCTCTATTTTATCTATTAGAAAGATTTCTTCAGAGCCATAACTTAGATCTCTCACTAAAATGGAGCAACAGGAAGATATAATGGTGCATTTCATTTATGAATGACCTGTAATAAATTACTATGAAGTATTCCAGGTGCCAAACGAGAGAATGCTTTGTCGGCACATGAACTATATTTCACATACTTTAATTTGGCTGACACATAAAACTCATTTGACATTTTGCAGGTATTTCTTTGAAAGGATATTTGGTTCTTGTTGAGCGTTAAGGTATGGAGGTGGGGTAACCTGGGTAACAGAAGGTCATTTCCAAGTAGATTGTTGTCCAAGATCAGCTCTTCCAAGTAACTGAATGTTTTCAGTCCTTCTAGTGACCTGCAAACGACAAAGGCAACAGGAAAAATGATACTGCACTAAATCAGGGAGGCCATTATGAGCTGAAATAAATATTTTAACCTTCCCTTTCAGGAGTGGGAATAGTTTTGGTTTGGGCCTGTCAGAAGAGTGAATGACAAGCATTAGTGGCAAGGGGAGTGCTGGCACTGCAACACATCCTTCACATGCTGGCAGGATGAAGGATGCGGGTCACTTAGTGAGTAGCCAGGATCCAAAACAAAAGGCTTCAGATATGGGGCCTGCAGGATGAATTTGTCAATGTCTTGTGCCTTCAGGCACCCAGCCTCGCCTGACCCTAACCTCCATTCCCAAGATAAATAACTCTGTCACAGTTCACCTTCATTCCCTGGACACAAATTTAAGTTGTCATCCATCATTTCTGCCAAGAAATATCATACCCTGCTAACAATAATAAATACAACTTCAAGTATCATTTCTTAGTAGTTACCTTACATGCAATAATAGGAAATGTAGAAGGGACTTCCCTCCCCCCCCTTTTTATTAACCTCTTAATTAGCTTCTTGAGTTCATGTAAACAAAATAAAATGTTCTCTACAAAATAAAATGCAGAATTACTCCTGACAGAAAAGGCATTTGCTTTCTTCCTTCTTGGAACTTACTGTCCCACTGTCAAGCCACAGGTCACACTGCAGAGAGCAACTTTAAAAAGGAGCATTTGACAACATGGTAGTGAAGATGATTACTTGTAAATAAACAAGGTTCTGGAAGCATTCATTCCTCTCACAGCAAAGTACCAAAAAAAAACCCCCAAAAAACTAAAAAAGAACATTTCAGTACTTTGTTAAGGCATCTATTCCAAGCCTGATTTTTAATGCTTGCTCATTCCAACAGTAAAAAAACCCTACATATTAATCAACTGAGACACACGATATACAAACATATGCACAGGAAGGCATTCACAGCTCATTCACCTACCAGACACCTAAAGATATGCTGAGATTGCATGACTTGACAGCTGATCTACTATGCCTACCAGTGGGAAGATCATCACTGTATCTCCTGGCTGGTTTATGGAATGTGATGAATAAGGGAGATGCAGGTTATACTATTTATTCAGCTTCCAATGACATTTATACTGAGGGGATTTCCTCACCCTCCCCCCAGTTTTTGGCAAAGATCGAAGTACAAGCCAAGGTCCCTGTTAGTATGTTCCACAGATACAATTACTGGAGGAAAACACAAGTATTATTAGAAAAGACAATTTAACATTCATCTGTGCAACAAAAACAAGATACTGCTTTTATAGCTAGAACTTACAGACCACTTATAGATCACACTTAGCTCAAGCAACCAAAAGAAGCCAAGTGTGTGACCTTTACTCTGGGTACTGCACACTGAACTATGAATATTCAAGTTACATTTTTGCAACACTGCAACAGTGTATTTCAGTCCAAGGATTCCAAAGCCTCTTGACTTGAAAGGGAGGTGCAACTATCACTTATGCTATTTTGATGCTCAGCAGCTGGACCTGAAGAAAATTTGCCACCTATACCCTATGGCATTTCTATATCGTTACCGTGCATCGATACTACAATTTCTGAAGCTGAAAAAATAAAGGCCTCTATTATAAACATTTTGCTGAAATAATCACCGCAGTAACAATCACATGTTTTGCATGTGCCTTTAACCAACAGTTTTGGGGGAAGAAACCTCAATTCAGTCTACATAAACTGTTCACCAATAAAAGCTGTACTAGCATGCTGCACTGAGCTAGCTATTTCAGCAAAAGGTCACATCAGACTTGGTTTTGCCAAAGTCAAGATTCGAGGAGAAAGCAGCAAACATCTTAGACAGCGCTTTCCACCAAGTACCTTTAAAAGGCAAAAAAACTCGGAGGAAGTAGCAGTGAGTCTATCAAGCTGTTATGAGTTTTCATTTCAGTTTGACAAACCTAGTTTAGCAAATTCCCCTTAAATACTCTTTATTATATAAATAGTGGATTATTTCCAAACCTCACATTTCAATGTATGACTTTGACTTGCCAAAAGAGTTCAGAGAAGGCCACCTCCTTGTCAGCACCACAGAGCCTTATGGGATGTTAATAGGTCCTTTGTGAAAAAACACTGCTTGGGCTCTGGTCAGTGTCAGCATCAAAATACACATTGTTCTTGAGTTATGTTATGCAAATATAATACCCTTATCATGAGAATCAGCAAATGGTTGGCAACTGGCAAGGAGAAGAAAGCACACATCCAAAACTGCTGCAGGGGAGGCATAAAACAAAATGACAAGCCATGAAGTGGGACAAAAGGCCTTGAAACACTAGAGGGAGTTGCCTATTGAAACAGCCTTTCTTTCACAACCCTGGGCTGAACACAAGGGTACTAGTTTCATAGATAGGCAGAGAAAATTGTGTGCAAATCTCCTTACACCTGTCTGGTTTTGATAATTTTTGCCATGTAATGTTATTAGCTGCTCAGTTAAAAAGGAGCCATGTTACACAGGGGGTTGCTTATAATTGCTGTTTTCATGTCATCAGAGCAGTGTGCACTTGGTGATTTAATCACCTAAATTCAGAGTCCAGGGAGATGGGAGGAGTTGCCACAGTACAGAGAGAGGGTGTAGCCATTAATATAAATTTACAGCCATATGTTGTTTTCCCATTCATGGAATTCTCCTTTTTCATCTTAAGCAGAAGAAAAAAAAAAGCACCAAAACAAAAATGGTAAGATGTGGCAAAGAAATAGAAAAAAATGTGTTTGCTATAATTCAGTGTTGCTACCTACAGAATACTATGCAACAGTTTCTACAATCATAATATATTAGGAAATATTGCCCAGCAGTTGCACTCCAAAGTGTAAAAGTTCTAAGTACAATCCACACAATTGGTTTTATGGTACAAACTTCAGCAAGTCCCATACCTTCCATGAGCCTCAATTTCCCATCTGCAGACGGGGGATAAGAAAGGATTGCAGTTGTGAATTGGTACAGAGAAAGAATTTTTGAGAATCTGAGACAGAAATCAGTACAAAATACTGTCATTTTTATTTTTAATGATGTTGAGCAAGTAGTATTAATGTACTCCAAGTATTTCCTTATGAACTCATTACAAAAGAGGAGTGGAATGCCTATATATACACAGCATAGGAAGAAGGGCACAAGCAACCTAAGAGACGAGTATAAAAAGAGAAATCCCCTAAGAAAGAGAACCAGTCTAAAGTTAAATCTGTACTGTTTTCTCATAGTTCACAGCATAAAAAAAAAGTCTCTTCATGTTAGTATACTAAAACAAACACACAATCTCACCACAACAATGCAACCAGCCTGAAGGGCTGGTGGCAAGTAGCTGTTTCCCTTACTTTCAAAAGGCTAATAAACATCAGTGAGGTGGATTGCAAGTTGCTTGTCCCTGCTCTAATGTCATGAAAGCTGCCCATTATTTCACCCACAGGTACCGTCTCAGTTACCTCATTGCAGGGCTCACACTCTGCTCCCAGAGGAGAGCAAGTGTTGCCAAGAGATTTCCACTGCAATTTTCAAAGTCACATCAAACCGACAAAACATCACAACGTATTCAGTGCCGCCTCATTCAAACAGAAAAAAACTTTAAGTTTCCACTGTAATTAACCCTATCCTCGTTAAGATAATTATGATCAAGCTCCCTGTCACAGCTAATATCACAGCATCATTGCCTATGGCTCACGCTTTGCCCTCATTAGCTTACAAAAACACGGCGCTAAACAGGAAAGTGACTCCCTCTGCAAAACGACTTAAGATGTTCTGTAAGTAGACAGTAAATAATCCTTTAGAATATAAAGGTCTCAGAAACGTCATTTTATCCAAGTCCTCTGGCTAATCAGTATGATTTCTTCCAGCTTTCTTTTCCCCAATTCAATCATGGTTTATAACAAAGTTTTAATCATAAAGGAATGTCATGACAGAGATTTTATTTTTTTTTATGTATGTGTATGCATGGTAATTGTCAGCTACACTATTTCATGTGATCCCTCTGGCCTGACAGGGATTTGGTTACAATGAAAGTAAAGAGCAACTCTTCATTTTGGTAATATTTGACAATGAAAATATGAGATTTTATAAATGAAAAAAAGCAGAAGCCTTGCAAGCAATAGACAAAACCTGGTACTCTGCAGTTGTCCTTGTTCAGAAAAACAAGCTGCTCAGAAGCATATGCTACAAAAGAAGAGTTCCTCACATTTCATCCCACCTCTCCATTAATAAGACAGCTGCCTCATACCTAATTGACTTTTTCCTCCTGTTTAACAGGAAAAGAGAGAGCAGTTAACAATATGCAAATGAGAGAGTTTGGGTTTAGCCTTGAAATTGATTTGCACTTTGTTGACAAGAGATAGCCCTTAGCAGAAGTTAAAGATGGAGCTGTTACAAAACAAGAGCTTTTAAAAATACCTTTTCCTTGCCTTTAATGTTTTAATAGACTACAGGAGAGCAGAATCAACATGAGAACCCTAGTACTAGATAATTTCAGTATTTAAATAGAAGTGCAATTTCTATTTCTCCAGCACCTGCCAGCCAAGGACTATAAAGCATTTTTTTGCAAAACATTAATGAATTACTTTTCAAAAACCTGCTGAGCTTAAAATTCCATTTTGTAGTAAAGCAGAGAGAGGTTAAGTGACTAACAGAAGGTGACCTCCAGCAATTTTCCAAGAGACAAGAAATAACACCCAGAACTCCTGACTTCTAGTCCTTTGACTTAACCTCACCAAAGCAAAACAAAGCACAATAAAAAAAATGGGGATACGTGTATATATATATACACAAGTAAAGCATCAAAAAATGGCCTCAACAGTATTCAAGAATAAAAGATTTTTTTTTGCCAATCTACTTAGTGATTTTACACAGTTTCCTGCATGATAATAGAACCAAAAAGAAAACAGAATGAAGTATTTAATGGACAGCTCTGACATGACTTCTGGACCATGACAGAACACACACACACACACCCCCACACACACCCCAAAGCACTCCAGCGATAGTAA